GCGCGTAGCGCTGAAGCTTTGACTTTTAATTGAATTATAAGGAAAATACCGTCATCGACTCTTTATCCTTGTCTGAATTGAGTTCCCCCCCCCCTCTCCCGCGCGAAGCGCGGAGGCTTTGACGTTTCATTAAATTATTAGAGAGAGAAGACGATTCGTTGTACCGTTCTCGACTCTTAATCCTTGTCTGAATTGAGTTCCCGCCCTCTCCCCCCTCCCGCGCGAAGCGCGGAAGCTTTGACGTAACATTAAATTATAAGGGAAAGGAGACGATTCTTTGTACCATTCTCGACTCTTAATCATTGTCTGAATTGAGTTCCCGCCCCCCCCCCCCTCAACCCGCGCGAAGCGCGGAAACGTTGACGTTTCATTAAAGTATTAGAGAAAGAAGATGATTCGTTGTAACGTCATCGACTCTTTATCCTTGTCTGAATTAAGTTTTCCCTTGGCCGCGCGCAGCGCGTAAGCTTTGACGGTTTATTAAGTTATTAGAGGAAGAAGACGAATCATTTTATCATTCTCGACTCATAATCCCTGTCTGAATTAAGTTTTCCCTTGCCCGCGCGTAGCGCGTAAGCTTTGACGGTTTATTAAATTATTATCCTTCTTTGAATTCAGTTTTTCCCCTCCCACGCGAAGCGCTGAAACGTTGACGTTTCATTAAATTATTAGAGAAAGAAGATGATTTGTTGCACCGTCATCGACTCTTTATCCTTGTCTGAATTGAGTCCCCCCCCCCCCCCGTTCTCGCGCGAAGCGCGGAAGCTTTGACGTTTCATTAGATTATTAGAGAAAGAAGACGATTCGTTGTACCGTTCTCGAATCTTAATCCTTGTCTGAATTGAGTTCCCGCCCCCCCCCCCCCCCCTCCCGAGCGAAGCGCGGAAACGTTGACGTTTCATTAAATTATTAGAGAAAGAAGATGATTCGTTTTACCATTCTCGACTCCCAATCCTTGTCTGAATTCAGTTGCCCCCCTCCCGAGCGATGCGCGGAAGCTTTGACATTTCATTAAATTTTTGGAGAAAGAAGACGATTCGTTGTACCGTTCTCTATTACACCTACCATGGATAAATCACGGCCGGGAGCGTCATAATTTTGTGTTATCGGGCGAGGGCCGGGGCCGGGACGTAGCGACCAAGCGAGATTTTGCAATGTTGAATGCTGAAATTATGCATTCTAAAAAATCCCTAAGCCCGATATGTACGTTCTTTTCGCTATATTTATTTCTAGCTATATTTCTAAATTTCCTGGGAGACTTGTCCCCATATCGGGCCCAGGATCGCCGCCCCTGTCCATGATTACTACCAACATGAGTTCTAATACAATCACAAGCGAGTCGATACGAGCTGAATCCAAATGAAGGGCAAAATAAGAGTTGTGAAGCGGCCCTACCGTTAATTTAAAATTTGACTGTTGAGTATATAACTTCTATTTAAAAGACATCCAAAATATTGTGCCCTTTTCAAATTTCTCACTAAAGACTGATGACCGCAGGGGCTGTTCTTAACGTTTAACTTTGAATCCGCGGCTCGAGATTTTATGCGGCCGGCCCGGCCCCCCTCTATTCAATAACGTTTGCCAATGAGCCTTCTGGAATGTCCCCTAATCTCCCGATTACAGTTTTCTCATATTTGTCGTTATTGTCACTTAGCGCCATTTCCTTGCCTTTCCCCCTTTCTCACCGACTTTTCTTTTCCCCCACCCCCCTCACCCTCTGTTATCTAGGGTACGCACATGTATGTTCCCTCTCTTTGAAAGCACCCCTCTGTCTCCGGTGTGTACAGTCAGTACGGGCCGGATTTTTGTGTATTGCGGGCCGGAATTTGTTATCGGAAATTTAGGGAACACAAAATGGGAGGGGGGGGGGGGGGGGGGGGGGGGGGGAGGGGCTTTTTATTTATCTTTTCTCGTCTATTTTCTTTTCTCTTCTTTTTTCCTTTCTCTCCTCCTTTCTTTTCTCTTCTCCTTTTTTTTTCTCCTCTTCTCCTTTCTTTTTTTCTCTTCTTTTCTTCCTCTTTTTTTTCTTCCTTTTTTTTGCGCCGCCAATAGGGGGGGCCGCGGCCGTTTCGGCCCCCCCCTGGATCCGCCACTGTGTTAGTGTTAACGGCCACTAAGAAGGCCCATTAGTGACTATACAAAATATATGCTCTTCCTGGCTATTTGGGAATGTGCCAGTTTGCAACAGAAATGGAGAACGAATTTTGTTGAAAATCATGTGATACTCACGAACATTTATAATTCACTTGTATGAAATTGAAAATAAGTCATGGTTGGATTTTATTGGGGAGGGGGGGGGGGGGCTAAGGCCCCCAAGCCCTCCTACCAGTTCGCCAGTGACATAGGCCTACATCAGCTTTTCAATAAAACAAAAATAAGTTGTGACATAATAATCTTACTTTAAAAATGAAAAATGTTTTAGGAAATATCAGGAAATAAAATGAGTGAAAAAAATAAATAAAGATACAATGAAGTGAATTTTAAAAAGGGTGAACGGAAACAACATAACAACTAGTGAACTATATAATAAGTCATAATAATGTCCACAAATCTTTCTACTTGTCTCCGATCTCATCACGAATTCGTCACAGAGTTCATTTTGTCCAGGATTGTCTGATGTGCATTGCAGATTGCTACTTTTGCGCTTCGCGCTTAACATTTAGCTCTATGATGCTGTTGATTGAACAAATTGAATAAATTCATCAATTCCTGATGAAGCCGTATGAGCGAGAATTCAATTTATTCTTGTCTCATATACGGTTGTCTCATTTACTTCGTATATTATGTATGCATTATAAAAATGAGATAGGAAAATGTTTATATTGATGGTCCGATCTTGCGAGTAATAATCATTAACTACTCTCATCGGGCCCTCATCATTAATTTTTCTCTTAATTTTTTTTTTGAGGGTGAATTATTGGGGGGGGGGGATGATTTTACAGGCCACCCCCCCCCCCCCACCTGAATTATTGGGGGGATATATCCCCCCATCCCCCCGGGATCGACACCCATGAATGAGATATTAGGTTTGCAACCCCTCGATTGACGGTCATCGGAGGCTATGGTGGTGGTTATTTTACCTGACTGCTAAGAAAGCATAAATGCTTGTTAGTAAGCAACCAGAGGATTTAGGTTCTCTCCGAGGGACCTGGTAATGAAGATTAATGCCTTACCAAAGGGCACTATAGCGCATCGCCTTGGTTTCGAACCCGGGTCACCGGATTAGGAGACCACTGCTCTACCGACTGAGCTATATCGCGCCTATATCTAGATCTCCTCTATACTAATCAATAATCAGTTTCTTTTTGATATTTTCTTTGACGGTCACTTGAGCGACGGCCCTTGAGACCGAATAAAACAAAAAAAGATTTCTTTATTTAGACAATGCTAAATGAGCGGGGGGGGGGGGGGGGGGGGGGGGATCAGACTCAGTTTAGATGGGGGTGTGCGGCTGTTCCGTCTAATCCCGTACCCATTTTCAAAGGTCATTTTGGAAGAAAATGGTACCCATTATTAGGGGACTTTTGGCCATTAAAAACGCAACCCATGTTTGTGATTTGTGATCCTTCGATTATTGCTTACATAGAATTTGGTAACCCATGTTTAAGGCCAAGATCTGAAAAGTAGGGCACTTTTAGGCAGTGAGTTTTTGCAGCACAAAATCATACCCGATGTTTAGGGTTTTTTTGACAAAAAAGTAACCCATTAGAAAAAAAGATTTCTTTATTTAGACAATGCTATATGAGCGGGGGGGGGGGGGGATCAGACTCAGTTTAGATGGGGGTGTGCGGCTGTTCCGTCTAATCCCGTACCCATTTTCAAAGGTCATTTTGGAAGAAAATGGTACCCATTATTAGGGGACTTTTGGCCATTAAAAACGCAACCCATGTTTGTGATTTGTGATCCTTCGATTATTGCTTAATTACATAGAATTTGGTATTGCGTACGCTCGAAAAAGTTGCCCGTTTATAAATTAGTCAGAAGCGGAGTTCAACTGAATGATATTGATAAATCTGTGCGACCATCGGCGAGGACTTAATTGGACGAAAAAGCGAAATGAGTTCATTTTTTTTTGCTGGATTTTGCATCTGAAATTTTCACTTTAGCGAAATTAAGGGTGAGATATTATCCCGAAAAAAATAGTATTACCCATGTTTAAGGCCAAGATCTGAAAAGTGGGGGCACTTTTATGGCAGTGAGTTTTGCAGCACAAAATCATCCCGATGTTTTGGGGTTTTTTTGACAAAAAAGTAACCCATTAGAGCGGTACACCCCCGTATAACGTATTAGGCTAGTACACCCCCCCCCCCATTGGGGGCTATAAGGTATATCAATTTCGATCAAGTCGATTTATTATGATTGCGTGTGTATTATGTATTGCCAACAGCAGTAACGGCATCCTGGCGGGCGGCTGACGAATGGTTCTTTACACACGCTTTTGTTAATCTAATTCCTACTTCAAAGTATTCATGATAATCCAATTTTGAATTTTGACGAAAACACAAATCATAATAATCTTCCTGAATTAATATTAAAAAACAACAACGCAAGTTTGAGTGGTTAGAAATGGTACTTATATATTATTTTCTACCACACTCCTGCAACCAAGCGCTGCTGGAATTACTCTTTACTCTTTACTCTTTGAATAACCTTGTTTGACATGGCTTTGGTAATTCATCAAATGTGTCACTCATCTTTATTGCTCAATGAAAAAGAAGTTCCGCATTGCCTTGACAATTGTTTGTTTCAATGGACAATTTTCTAACCAGAATGAAACTAAACTATGCTGGTAATTTGAAACAAAAACCACAACGGCCTTGGCCGAATTTTTAGGAAAATGGATAAGTGCCCCACCCCTTTCCCATGTTGCGCAAAAATCTAGAGATGGCGCTATTAGATAAGGTCCATTTTCGCTGTTACTCCCTCCATTGTATTCGAGGCGTCCGTTTCAATAGAAATCTCACCCTCTTCATGTACAGATCAGCGAATACAAACCTGCAATGGCAAACTAGTGTTGTAATTTTCGTACACTGAATTTGTACGCCCAATATGCGAAACGCTGCGAGCAGCGTTGGAAAGTTAATAATTCTGTGAATTTTCGTGATTATTCTATGTGGATGAATTGCTGACAGTTGGGATTATTGATGCTGGCAAGCTTTGTGAGGTAGGTGAAATGATTTCAATTGAGTTTCCTTTTCGAGAAGAATGAAATAGTACACCGCGCGAAAGGGAAATAGGCCTGACTTGTTGATGATCAATTATTTTCACTTTTGATATCCTTGTTCACGTTGTGACTAGATCTATGACTGTGTGAATGTTATTGCATGCACTCGCATGCACATGTAACTGGCCTGGAATTTGACTAGCCCAGCCCGGCTGACGAGAAACTGAAGTAGATATCAGTTTTAGCAGCAAGAGTTGGGTTTAGTTATTTATTTACAGTTGATTTTGAAGGCCATGCTTTTGTGTTTGACAAGTTGAACGTCCAAACATGGTGGCAAGCCAATTGTATGTTTACAATACAATTACAAATTCAAATTTCAAATTCAAAATGTGATGTGAACATTCTCGTCTCTCGACCACTGCACTGCAGTGTAGATGTCATGAACTGAATGTCATGAATTGAATGTGAGTGATTGTGAGACGTGCTGAGAATGAGCTCATGAGTAGGTTATGATTGATTTGATATGGCTGATTTGTGAATTGTGTCTTCTCTCTATTCTGGGGATTTTGTATTTGATGTGAGTTAGAGAAAGTGTTGCATAAACACAATTGAGATTTTGTTATTGTATGAAGAATGGAAGCCCTTGTAATCAGTAGGGGCTCTGGTCCGAGAATGAGGATTGTCCACACAAAGAACTCCTTGTAGATGTGGACAAAAATAAAGATCGTCTGCAGACTTTTTTTTGTCATCGTCACTCTGCTGGTTTTGGGTCCCCGAAGCGCGCCCTGGCGATGCAAAAGCTGATTCCGCGTAATAAAATACCCCCAGTTCTGAGTTTACCGTCTACTTTTATGGGTTATCCATCTTCCATAGGATCTATTGCTCATAACGTGAAAGTCTCTGTACAAAGTCAATGTAAAATGAACTAAGAAAATCACCACGGTATCCGTTTTTCGCATGGCGCGCGGATCGAAATAAGAAACGTCTCCGAAAATGCAGCTATCCTTACTTTTGTGGACGCATCTGTCCGCATTTAGGAAGACGCTCCTCGTTTAAGCGGACGATCCTTTTTCTGGGACCAGCGCCCCTACTGGAAATGTCATGCTTGTCTATGATCCATAATCAGTTCTCTATTTTTGGTGCTACATGTACATGTACAATGTAAGTGAACCTTAACAAAAACACCAGGGGCGGTATTCTGAACATTGTTAGCGCTAATATTGTTGTAAGTTGGTATTCTGAAAATCATTTATCTCTGTGTTACATGTAGCCTATCTCTTGAAGGACCGCCTCTATCTTATCTTTGACCACAGTTGACACGCCCATTTGTATAGACCCTACCAATCAAAATCTGTTATATATAAGCATGATAAGTAGGTCAACCAATAGGAATACTTGAAGCCATATCTGAAGATGCGCCTAGCGCATACTAATCTTGGGCGTAATTAGTTATTTGAGCGCTTATTACGCGCATCATCATATGCGCTGTGGCATGTGGATCATGAAGACAAATCACGCTTTCACTATATTGGTTATGATGAGAGCATTAAAATCGTCATATCCTAGCATGTACATTTGTCATTTCTTAGAAAGTTCTCATCTGTGATGTTTCCGGTCAACACACAATCTTTTGCTAACACATTCATTGGCACAAAGTTGGTTCTGGGCAAGAAATATTGCTGCCATTATATCACCACAAAAGATACAACAACCCCCTACCAGTTGTAAATATTGTTGTAAATACCATGCAAGATGAGATAAATTTTTTCTACAAACTGAAACCAAATTAATTAATATTCTTATAAATTGACAGGAAGTTTACCCCCCAAATGATCGTAATTTAGCAAATCTACATCAATTTTTAAGCTACCGGTAGTAAGTTTATCACAGGCAGCTTTGGTATCCTACATGTACATACAATGTACCACCGTACCACGATGTGCGGTGTAATACAGAATTGTGACTTTGGCTGGATGCGCAGTTGCGTTGCACGGCAGCTTGCTCTGTAACGGTCCTTTTTTAAAACTTTTTAGCGATGCAATGGCACGAACTTAGATCTAGATCTACTGGTAGATTTTGTTAGAAAAATAAATTATGAAGTTTATGTCTTATGTCTTCATGTCAAAAATGCAACATAAAATTGTCAGTAAGATGCACAGCCCCATGTGTACCAATGGACGTGCTGTTTTGACCGCTGAATTTTTAGTTGTTGCGCATAGGCCGCACCCAGACTTTATGATATTTTCTCTTCCGAAAATACTGCGGCCTTAACGCCGGCAAATACTGTATCAACACTGTACTGCGCTTAATACAAGGTACAAGGTGTCATACTATTAACACGGCTGAACAATGTACATGTAACTGAGACGCATGCATGATAGGCGCTAAAGCATTCAAGGAATTTCTTGTGACCCATTACTTCACCTGAGTGGGGAGTGGCAAATCTTGGACATGGATGTGTGGTATTTTGACATGGATCCTGTGGCAACATTTGCTCTGGACTTCTAGAGATACCATTAGGGTTTGATTATTTCATGTGTCCATGTACAAAGTTGTGACACGTTTTACCTCTACAGTGTATTTGAGGTTGAGAATTTAAAATTGATGAAATTCAATTTGAGGCAGCATTTTCACACACTTCTATCCTGGTAATCATTGTTCAGTTTTTGTTGGTCAATGTTTATTTAGATAAAAACATTCCTATTGTTTTTGGTGATTTTTTAAAATCAATTGTTTCTTTCTAAAGTTCTCATAGTAATTTATTGACAGATAGATAATACCCCCAAATATAAATATGAAAACGTTCCTATTTTTGGGGGCAATTTTTTCCATCCATTGTTTCTTTCTAAAACTCTCATTGTAATTTTTTGACAGATAGATAATACCCCCAAATATAAATATATTTCCATCAAATGTAATATCAGAGGTCATCACACATCCCAGACAGACAGGGGGCCCCACGTGTGCATATATGCGTGTGTGGAGTCTGAATGAAGGGCCATCCACTATTCAGCTGTTCCACTGTCTGCCATGCGGGTGTGTGTTGAACTCATTAGCAACGACAGATAAACATTCCAGCCCATTAACGCTGCCTGATTGGGCCAAGATAAGCATGTTCTCAGGTTCTACATGTACATGGAACACATCCCATGTCAGAAAATAGAAAAAGGATGGTGATGGAAGTTATTTTTAAAGGACTGTGCAGGAAATTACAGTGTACACATGTACCAATCACCTGATTTATTTAAAATCAGCCCCAAAACACTTCATTCTACAGCGTAAGAAAATAAAACATAAAACCTATTAATTAATGATAAAACTCATAAAATAGAAAATTTATGGAGCCAAGTCTGACTTGAGTTCTGTGCGTTCCCTTTTCTAAGAGTGTAAATGTTTGCCTTACCGTATATTATCTATGAAACAATATGAAACAGCACATGAACTTTCATCTTTTGTTGTTTGATTTAAATAGTATGTTACATGTAGAAACCAGGATAAGCACGTGCATCAATGTGTGTCCCTTGTTTACGGGTATAAAAGTGAGTATTTACAGTTGATACACAGTACATGTACATGTACTGTACGTACAGTTTTGTACAGGTATTTGTTACTATTGTAAAGACCGCATAAAGTTACAATGTGAATCTAGAGGGTCTGGTATTGCAGACTAGCCATGTATTGGGAGGATGATGGATCTGTCTAGTGGCCCAGTCATTAAGGAAAAGCCTGTATGATCAAGTCTAAGCATGTGGCCTAAGCCACCTGGATGACTCTACACCTTCCAGTCATGGTACAAGACTCGTACGCTGCCCCGTTATTATCAGCACTTGACTACCGGTACTAACCTGTAAACATATTCTTGGGACTACACATAAACAAATGACACCCTTTGGCCCTATACACTATTAAATGGCAACATGCTATTTTCGTAATGTACCATACATCTTTGTGAAGTGCCCCAATACAAATGGTGAGAATCAGGGAGCCCATGTGTATTTTTTCCCCTGGTGAGAATGCAAAAAAGTATGTTGGTCGTTGTAAGGTAGGGCAAGCCATCAGATACAAATATTTGTGAGAGGTGAATGAAATAATTGTTCTTGACTCTTGAGGCACTTCACAAAGATGTTTGTATTAAATTTGGTTCCATTTTGAAAATAGCATATTAAAGATAAACTTTAGTACTGGTAATGCAATTGCATTGTGAAAGAAAAGGTGTGGAAAGGATCAGAAACAGTTGATCATGTGACATGTAAGTATTGGTGTGCACTGCAAGGTTCTGGAGTCATCAAAATCATAATAAATTTGACCGAGTCTTGGTTAAGTAACAAGCACTCACATAGAAAGCTATATATGGGACAACACACATGGTGTCGGGGCTAGTACTACCTTGATTTCCTTGTCTTTCTATGCTCATTACTCAGCCAGTATACATTTTCTTCCAAAATTATTTGGCACATGTCATTTATTTGTAATCTTGAACATTCAGTGTAAGTTTCGTTTGATTCTGTGAGAATTATTATTATTTTTTTTACCAGTACTGGAGTTTATCTTTAATGTACAATCTCTGCCTGTGTCCAGAACAACTACAAGCGTATCTAGTACAGAGCCACTTTTAATCTCAACGTGCATAGGCTAATACATGGAACACTGACACTGTTTTGTCCCTTCAAAGTAGTACAACCCCATGAAAAATGCAAAATTGCACAATTTGAATTGTGGTGATTTTTCTCTGTTCAGTTCATTAGTGGGTTGCCCTATCGTGTGTTCAAAGATCACCTCTTTTCTTTAGAAGTCAGTTCCATTCTTTGAATTATTTTCATTTCTCTACCAATTGTGCCGAAGTGTGACGTCATTCTGACCAAGTTGTCAAGGTTGCTGGTTCCAAACAATTTTGAGCTAGACAATGGTATGGTGATCACACCAGCCCCAGACACTGAATTTGCCCTGCTCCAGCCTGTTGCTGGAATGGTTTTGCGGTGAACCTCATGTGCAAGCTCTGT